TATATATATATATATATATATATATATATATATATATATATAAGAATAAAGTTCTTCTTTTTTGTATCATTAAATTATTTTAATAATTGCGATCTAGTAGAAAAGCGTAATAAGAAATTTTACTCGAACATTCGACAGTACTAGACAACAACCTTCTATTGAAGGCTGAAAATATTTTTTACGTTTATTTCATTCCATGCGTACGCGCGCGCGTGCGGAAATAAAAGAAGATTGAAATTGCAACTTTAACGTCATCCAGAAAGATTTAATTTGCTAATATAAAAATTCTGCTTGGTTTTCAATGAACGAAAATTATCTCTGTCCCATGGAGCAATTTTAATTTCGGATTCATGAAATAGGAAGCTTCAACGTTCAACTACCCCGGAGAGGAGCATCGCGGCGGCCCCACGACGATCGACATGCACTCGTGTCTTAAATGGCAGATATCCAAATTGTACGTGCTCGATTTGCGCGGTGGATTAGCTTCGTCGCGGGATCAAAAGTCGAGGTCGAGAAAAAGATTAGGCACAAAGGTCAAAAGGGAACGAATGCGACCCTTTCTTCGGTTCTTCTCGCACGAAAAATACCTGAGGGAGCAATGAGTGGAAGAACGTATCTATGATACGAGTGGATACCTTTCAAAAGGGCTCATGGGAGAATGAAGCTTATTCGTCATCCTGTCGACCGATAGGTCGCACCGACCGCCACCGTTGCGCCACCTTAACACACCCTGGAGATCCTCGAGGGTGGATTCTTCCAATAACCGGAAAAAAAACTGTATAACGTCACATCCCTCAAAGGATATAAATTCACTGTGAATGTGCTTTTTCGGGGGAGTGAGCTCATAGATTAGGGCAATAATGTTTCCTAAAAAGAGGACCTTCAGCCGGCATTCATCGATCAGATGAATCTGATGTGCGAGGAGCCTGACCCCTATCTAGAGTGACCTGTATCTCTACTGGCCGATGCTCTGTTCTACTCTATGCCCCTAAATCACTCGTAATTGCATTCATTCGCACGGACGTAGAGTCGTTCCGCCGAAAACGACGAAGCGAAATGAAGCAACCGCCAGGGCAAAGCGCGAGTAGATGCAGAACCACAACCACAAATAACGTACGATCGATCTATTGATCTGTCCGATCAATACACGCGCGATTGTTTCGCGTTAGTTCGCGAATTCCATTATTATTTGCGGCTCCCGCGAACAATACGTGGCGACGGGCGGAGGAAGGCGGGGAGAGGTAAATGCAATGAAAAGTCGGGCTGGAGATCGCGAAATACACGCGAGTTGCTCCTCTCCGAATATAAATTGCTTGAATAATGGAAAGGAATCGCTTGAGCCGGGCTTACGCATCTCCCCTGCTACTCGCCTGCCGTCCTCCTTTCCTTCCCACACCACTCCTTTCATCAAGGTTTCTCCGACCAGCAAAACCATCTTATCGCGTGTCACCTGCACGTATCCAATCCCTACCGCTCTCTTCTCTTTTCGCGATTCTATGCAATGAGATTCTCACGAGCTACCTCCGCGCGGCTCCTGAAAATTTCTCCCAGTCTTGTTGAAGACAGGTGCATCCCAGTTTTCTCGAAAACGGCTACATATGATAAGGAGATCTCGGGAAGAAAATCGCTGAAAGAAGAAAATGAAAAAAAAAGAAAAGGGGCGATGACTTTGTATTCCTTATTAATTTCCCATTTTTAACACGTCGCTAAGTCCGCTACAAGATTTACTACGGCGCGCATTAAAGTTTCCCCTATTTATCCGCTGGCACCTTCTTGCGCAGTTTCCCTCGCGCCTGAAGCATCCACAATGAAAACGAGACGGAAGTCACGCTAAGAATCCGTCACGACTTGCGAAAGAGGAGGAAAAAATAAGTAAAAAGAAGGATAGAGGCGAAGCCGTGGGGAATAAAAGAGCGGAGGAGAGGAATCCCAGCACGTTCAGTTTATCACGTTGCCGGTTTAACAAAGCATTCTCATTCAGAGCGATGGTAACGTCCTCCGCGTGGGAAAGAAATCGGAATTTGCGCGACAACTTGGTTGTCCTAACAAGGACGACTCCTTACGTGCCAAAGAGTTTCACTTTTCATCGTTAGTTTCGCGAAAATGTAAATATTATATTGCTGGCGGAGAGCCAGCACATACGGTTATTTCTAGAAAAATATCGCTCTCGTCGGGGGTCTCGTTTCTCTCTAACGCGAAAACTCAATTTTTCTAACAATTCCGTTCTTGATCATGCAGATCGCTTGATTTTAACATAAAACTGTTTCAAAATCCGAGATTCACAGTGGATCAGTCGATTCCCATGACGGATTGGGAGACATTAAAATTCAAATCGAGATACCGCGGATATTTTGCTATTTGAGCTGTTTCTCTTTTTTGTTTATCAATTTTAATACATCACGTGTCATATTTTTTTCCTTCCCGCGATATGAGTTACGCGAGACACGTTTGCATAAATCTGAAATCCCATTGTCGTCCGTTAAGCATATTGATTGGCGAATGCGTACGCTGGAAGATCCGACATTTCGATTTATTCCATGGGCCGTTGGCTCTCCTCGCATTGGCATTCTCCCCGAGGTTGCAGCCCCAGAAAGAATTCGTTCTGAAGTTCAATCTGGCTCGCGCAATAAGTGTCACTGACCTAACGTGCACGTACTATAAACTAGCCGGTACCTACCACCACACTAACGCGAAATTTAATTCGAAAAGCAGCCCGACAGATACGTAACCCGCCGTCAGTTCGGCCTTGTTCTTCAGCTGGCTCGAAATAAACAAGACGCTCGGGTGAATCGTTCCGAGATTTCGCGAGGTGATTAAGAAAAGAGGAGAAAAGAGAGAGAGAGAAAAGATTTATTTCAATCTTAGGACATATCCTCTAAGGACTGTTATGTGTGAAATTATATAAAGCATATGCTTATTGCGAGAGAGTTACGAGAGATAATATTTGGTATAATTTATTATTATTAGTTATTATTAGTATTTATTATTATTATTATTAGTATTTACTATTATTAGTATTTATGATTTAATAAATTTAAATTGGCCCATACATCTTGTACAAAAATAATCCAACCTACAGAATTATGATTTTTTAGTTTTTGTTCTTACCAATGGATAGCCCGTACATCTTTCTAGAGAAGCAAAAAATCCAAGCCTTAAGATCCCAAATTGTCAATAAAGGAATCCTCAAAGAAAAGGAATTGCTTGATTTTTTGAACGATTGCGAAGAATCAACGATATCTATATTTTTTAAATCATGTATCAAATTTTCATCTTCATTTCTCTCGAAGTGTATTTTGTGTAGATTGGATCATTCTTGCATAACTACCGTCAATTGATATATTTAAGACACTTTGAGACAATTAATTATCAGTATAAATATTTATTAATTGTGAAATATTTTCTTTCTTTTAATTATATGTATATAGGGCATAATTATATTGAAGGATGTATGCAAACAAAAGAATGAAGAGAGAGAAAGGGGGGAGGGAGAAAGAGAGAGAGCAAGAAAAAAGAGGCAGAAAACAAAAATTGTGGAAAGAAAATTTAGAAAAATCTACGCGATTACACTGTCGTCGCGGTGATCCCGCGTGATCCCCTCCCAAGCCGTTTTAATCCGGATTAGCGTCAGTTTATCGCAAGAACATTCAAGAGAGACGCGCCGAGAGAGGCCAATGCTGTTGAACGTTAACGCAAAGTCTGAAATCCCGCGAAGTATTTTAATCCGCGGTGTCTCGATGTCATTATCGCGCTAGAGCGACGAAGGGTCTGTAGCAATATCGGAACCATTTAACGTCGTGGGAGTTTCCAGAGTGTCGTGTTGGAGATGAATCGACTTGGGATGATGGTGGACCTCTCTCACGTCTCGGTGCCCACGATGCTAGACGCCATGGCGACGTCGAGGGCGCCGGTGATTTTCAGTCACAGTAGCGCTCACGCTCTCTGCAATTCCTCGCGAAATGTGCCTGACCACGCGCTGCGACATTTGGTGAGTATCTCGACAGCGAAACCGCGAGCAATTACGAGCAATTGCGCGTGCATATCGATTTGACTCGATGAAACCGTCGTTGCAATTCTTTTCGCAACCTGCAACTCACACTGGGACATTTTTGTTCACAGGCGCAGACCGGTGGTATAGTTATGGTATCCTTCTATCCCCATTTTATCAGCTGCGGCGAAAAATCGACGCTCGAGGATGTGGCAGGTGAGCGAGATCGGCGCGATAAGAACGCCGATTTCGACTTTTAATCGTCAATTGCTTCGCGCACGCGCGCGCGGACTCCGATAGCCGAAATTTGCATGTCTCCGCGCGCCTGTCGCTCGAAACGAATATTGCGCTGTCGGTTCGTTTGCGCGTCATGTTAATAAAATTTCGCAATCGGCCGTGCGGGTATCATGCGCGGATTTCAGGCCCGGTATTTGTTCGCCGAAATGCGCGATCATCTACGAATTTTTCAAATAATACGGCGGGCGCGAGCGCGTGCGACACGATCCGATAATCGATAGGATCGTTTCCTGCATTTCTGTCGCCATGGCCGTGTTCTCTCTGGAGCACGGCGATACAAACGCTGTTGAACCGAACGTGGAATGCATGTGGTTGTACTCGCGGATTTTCTTCTCTTCTCCCTCTGGCGTGACAGCGTTGCTTCGGTGCTCCCGCGACGCTTTCGAGAGTGTCCCGCGATATCATCGCGTCGTACCTTCTCATGTGCCCGAGATAAGAGCTAATTGAAAAGCATGGGAAGATTGCGCTCTTTTATTTCCGCGATCGACACGTGGGCTTTCGCGACTAAGCCGCGGCTTTCAACGTTCCCGTTCGACGGGCGGAGAGCGAACGTCCGGGACGTTTCCTCTCACGACGCGGTGAACAGCGCCGGCGGATGAGTTTTCGCGTTAGATGCCAATTCCCGCGGGTTGCCATCTTATTTGCATTATTATAGGGGCGGCTCAAAGTTCCGAAGACATTAACATTTGAGACCGCACGGGTAATGTATACGCGGTAAACGGCTGTGTATATATGTACATCTCACTTAATTACATACACCAGCCATAGGAACGGAATTTTAATCAAGTATGCGCGACTACGACAAACTCCCTGGAATTAAATTAAAACAAATGTTTCTCCTCCCCCTCTCTCTCTCTCTCTTCAATTTATTCTCAATCAATTTGCGTTAACTCTATGCGTCAGTGTGTCTTTGATATACGAGGGTGGTCTGAAAAGTTTCCGACCTAACAAAGATACAAGTCATTTTTTCTGAAAATTGTTTTTTATTTTTCAACATAGTCTCCTTGTAAATCTACACACTTCTCCCAGCGATGCTCCCATCTCTGTAACCCGTCGAAATAGTACTCGGCGTTTTTCTCTGCAAAATAATTGTTCACGAAGGTGATTGCCTCTTCATTTGACGAAAATCTCTGTCCTCCGAGCGCAATTTTTAGATGAGGGAACAAAAAGAAGTCGCTTGGGGCTAGATCTGGTGAGTAAGGTGGATGGTCAAGCAGTTCAAACCGTAATTCGTGGATTTTCGCCATGGCAACCGCT